ATCTTGAAGCGGCAACTACCATCCAAACGTGACGTACTCGCATTTATCTGTCGTTATAGGAGGGTGGGAGCGAACCCTCCTTCCTCAAGCAAGACTGAAAACAAATAGATGTAAAAGGGGACGATATTTGAAAAAAAAAAAACGGATCTGAAAAAGAGAATCACCTGTTCTTCAGTAACCGCTGTTCGCGCTTGTTGTTAGTGTCCTCGTGAAGAGTAGTGGAGACGGAACGACCCGGCGCGCTATACCGACTGTTGTCGGTGGTACCAGCAACAGAAGGAACTGGGGGAGGCTGAGGTGGCGGGATCGCACCAGCAACTGATCGAAATAGCGACGACGGTCCTTGCGCTTCACTACTAGTACCTCCTGCTCCACTGCCACCCTGTGGGCCGCCTTGTTGTTGTTGCGGTTGCTGTGGAAAACCACCTCCTGAATTGGTGTTAATTGTCGAGAGGTACGCTGGTGACTGTGGTTGATGGTATTGATTGCTTTGCATCTAAGGTTGTAAATGACATATAGAATAATAATTTTATACACTCATGATTCTTTCATAAACACTGGCTGGATAGCACAAAATGTAGAGGTAGGGGAACGGACATAAGGAGTAAAGAAGGGAGGTAATTGATGGATTTAGATGGAAAAGCCTTATCATGTGATCGTGCTAAAACGTTAGACAAAGATAACCAGAAGAGTAAATTAAGTTTTGCCCAAAGATGGCATACAGATAAACGTAAATGAGTAACCGATAACGAAAATTCGAATTAAAACAGCCGGTAACTACAGAAAAAATAATGGCGAAATTCCGAAAGTAGCCACCTTCCCGTCTAGGAAACAAAGTAGCTTAGCCAAAACTTGACCTAGTAGACAAGTGAATAAATTATTAAGTACGGGGAAATGAGTGATTGATGATGTAAGAAAGTAATCAACATACCTCAATAATGCTATCACGATAAAACATAAAAGTGCATAACCACAGCAAAACTAAGATTGATTATGAAATTTTTCAGATGCTATTGGTAGAAATTGGTTTGAGTGGGTTGCCAGAGTACTGCACCACTTGAATACGAAAGACAATTATAAAGCTCATAGGGTAACCAATAACGGGACGGTAAACAACATGCCTCCATCATACCAAGCCATTGGTAGAGTAACGTAATTCAATAAAAGGCGACGATACTACTCTGAAAACTCTCCGTTTGTCATAAA